CTCCTGTTACCACTATCCAACAGTATACTGTCTGTCTCTTATACACATCTAGATGTGTATAAGAGACAGGCTGTCCGACAGGTGGCTTCGGCTTGTATAAATGAAGAAGGGGAGAGTTTGGGAGAGGGTACCCCCATGAAATTGGATATTTTTTTTAAATAAGGACCTCTGGATGGCCGGAAATACTGTAGCACTCTACGACTGTGAAAGGCATGTTTTGGCTTGGTGTACATTTTTTTTTTGGTCCAACTGCCCAAGGAGCTCAGTCAGTGCAGTGGTTGGGGGGGGGGAAAGTCTGACTTGTCCGATGTTTGGGGGGTTAAGCCAATGCCCCCGCTGGCACTGTCACTAATCATGTACTATCATAGCGTTTAATTTATGATTTAATTTTATGTACAAATGAATTCACCACCAACAAAATAATGATAACCTAATAGCCTTGAATGATGAAGATGAATGACCTCATAGCCTTAATTTTGGCAAAGATTATGTGGATTAGAATGTCAATGAATGAAACAAAGAACAATCTCTACTCACTCTTTCTCGTAGATTCTCATCTTCTCCTAGAAATGGGTAATACCTTTTCCGTAAAAACTGGATGCGTCTGAAAGTGTAGAAGCAGCTGTCGTGGTAGGCCTTGTAAACCTTTTGAACAATATCTGCATACTTCTCCTCCTCCTCCGGTGAAATTTGGGCATCAAGGTCAAAGTTTGCCGGTAAACAGGTTGGCTCTTCTCTTCGTTTTATATGCATTGCCATCTCGGGGCCCATTTCAACAAATTCCATTAAGCCCGATGGACATTTGGAAATGATCATAGAAGGAGAGAAATCTAATTTAGGACTTCCCTCCGAGCTAGATGAGATTGATCGGGAGTCTGACTTACCGTCGGACCCTGTGGAATCGTAGGACGGAGGACCACGCGATAAATCCTGCGGTTTCATTTGATGGTTCAAATTGTTAGTATGGTAAGGTGGGAAGTATGGTGCTTTGTTATCATCATAAAGGGGTGAAATGTCCATTGGTTCTTGTTTACGGGGACTGACTTTTGTGTGTCCTTTCGGAATATAATTGCCTGGTTGAGCATCAGAGGGGAACTGGAAAACATCATTTGATGGGCTCTTTCCATGGGAAGATCTCTCTTCGTGAGGAACATCACGTGGTAATCTAATGCCTTTTGATGTATGTCCTGGAACCATCATCACCTGAGAAGAATGGTGAATACTTGACATATCTTTATTTTCTTGATCACCTGGACTTGGCGTATCGCATGGAATCAGGATCACTGGTTGGCCAGATTGTAAGATCTTGGTGATTTTATTGACCGGAATCTCTCCCGGACTACTTCCACACGATATTGGAGCAGGTGAATGAACCTGCGGTGCTGGTCCCGGACTCATTGTATACAGATCCTCATGCGACGATCCATGGATGTCTGAAGATTTTCGCAGTGAATTTGTACCCATATTAGGATGCTTCTCCGGCATTGGCATCATATCTGGAGAGAGTTGCGACATATGTGGTCGGGTTGGTATTGAACTGGAGACTCTACTGCAACTACTAACTGCTGTTGAAGCTAGTTGGCTCAAAGAAACTAAATCAGGATCCATTTCGGAATTTTCACTCGGGTACTGACAATCATTTGGACTCATATCAAGTTCTCGTTTGATAATCATGCCTATATTATGGCCAAACGCCATTTTGTGCGCCATCATACTGTTCATCGGCATGGTTTTATAAAGCGACATGTGCGAGATAGACGGCGGTAGTAATGTACTTCCGGGAGGCTGCATAAGCCCTGCGCTGCTGGGTGGCATCGGGTAGCTACCCTGGCTGAATAACCGGTTGCCATAAAAACCAGCTGGTTTCATTGTTGTGTTGTCTCCAAGGTTGCGTTGCTTGGCGATTGTTTCGTGCATTTTCTCAATCATGCGTTTAGACCGCCGTCCGAGTCGTGATGCTGTAATAAAACAAATACTAGAATTATTTAGCAGTACATATTATTTCAATTTTATGTTCAAAACATTGTGGTTATTCCAATATAACAAGAGTCAAGGTCTTTATACATTAGTTTAATTTAATGTATGGTTAAAATGAAACAGTTTTTAAAATAAATTTACTAGGTAATTAGAAATTAAGTCTTATGAAAACTTGTCTATGGTCGAAATTAAAGATATGAAATTGTTGGTATTATGTTCATTGAACAAGATACCACTATACACCTACGAAAATAATAATATTACAAAACATTAATAAAAATAAAAACAATTATAACAACAAAATGTTATCCATTTACATGACACCTAATGATTGATGGCAAGTACTCATTTTTCCAAACTAATGGGAACACAAAGAAAGATAAAGACCTAAATAACAAAACTGAAAAAAAGGTTGCAAAGATAAACTAAAATCCACAGGAATGTTGTGTCAAGAAGAAAATAAGAATCAATCAGAAATAATAGAAAACAGAACATAAATGATTTGACTGCAATGGTATCTATTAAAAAAGAAAATAACAGCTCTCATAACTGTTAAATATATTGTTAAATAAAAAAAAAAAAACCAAACGAAACAAAGGCAAATGATAATAGAAGCAAAAATTTTACACATAAATCTCGGGTAGTCATAAGTTATCCTAGAATTTTTATTAGCCATTGAAAAAAAAGAAAATTATAAATCTTCTTTATTTTCCAATCTATATAACGACTGTTTGTTGCCCCGATGTTCACAATATCAATAATTGTCAAGAGACTATGGCGCATGGTTTGAAACCCTGGAAGTCGCAATGTTATTACAATGTTGGGGCTAACTGCAATAAAGCATATGTCCTTCACTATTATTGCGTCAAACAGCTGGGGACAAATATGAATAAACATTATTCTGTGTTTTTCCCCAGGTGCTAAAATATATCAAAGCCCACCTGTATTCATAAAATATTTTAGAATAATGAATGTGTCCATGTTTCAAGGTCTGCTGTCTGTCAAGTAATTTCAATATGATATATTTTGTGGAAAAATTATCTTACTTATTATAGAATTTATAGAATTTTGGAACGATAATAATGAAATTATTTTAAAGTAACTTTTTGCTTTGTTCGAAAGATCAATATACAACATTCTTTTGCCTCAACAAAGATTGAAAGGTGATAAATTTTAATTAATATATGATCGGTTATATGTGCGTTTTGAATGGCCACTGTATTTAAAATATATTTTAAAGATACCGGTACATATGAAGGGGGTCTAGATGATAAATTTGAACAAAAAAATATTATATGCCCATATATAGTCATGATATGCCTATATATGGTCATGGTATGAGGTCATCATGACCATATTTAGGCATGTCACATGCTTTTGTCAAATAAAATTTGATAGTGTGGACAGGGCTTAAGAAAAAATAAATAAATAAAAAATATAAATTATATAAAATAATTTCATAACTTTTAATGAAACACAGACAAAAAATGATTCGCTGATTTTTATACATTTTACTACAAAATCCTTAAATTTATTATGAGCCAATTTAAGTGTCTGCAGAATAGAAACCGTAATATATGCGTCTGTTAATTGGCAAGAAAAATATTTGCTCATTCTAAATTGAAAGCTAATAACATACCTAAATATACAAACTAAGGATATCAAATATTGATTTATTAACGCAAAGAAGACTGTATATGTTGAAAGTACTGGCTTTCTTTACTGATTCTGTTTGGCACAGGGGATAAAATAACAAGCAAAATTTATTATTTAATAAAGCAATAACTTGGAACGGAACAAAAGCTGAAAAACTGAAAACAGTACCTGGTAGAAGGTATGATCAATTCTATATCAAGTGACTGAGGAATATAGTACTTTACAGCCCATAGAAAGGTGGTATATTATCTACCTATTTAAAACTGGCTGTCTGTTTTCGAACAGAAGGCGTAGTGCCAAAATCTCTTAAGGTCAGTGGCGTGATGCTGTGAGTTCTTAGGGTGGGGAGGGGGAAAGCTCCTGTTACCACTATCCAGCAGTATACTGTAGTACTAATACAAATCCTTGACCAGTGGGTGTGCTTTTAGGAAAAAACCTCCAGTACTCCAGTTTATAAGGGACTAGAAAGCGCAAGGAGCCCCTTCTACTAATACTCCAATGCATATAACAGGTAGGATATGACATCATCCTACCCATATATGGACAAATTACACAAATCCTCTCCCATCTCCCATCCTCTCCAAAATTATTTTTTTATCCCACTTAATTCCTTTAACTTTCCTTGGAAAAGCAATGGGTACCGTAATTGATGAAAAAAAACCCCACAAAACAATGCTCTCGAACAAGTGCTGTGCCCTTATCAAATATACTTTATAGACCTACTCTATATTGTGATGCTAAATCAGGAATACATATTACCAACATGACATGTTTCATATCATTAGGGCACTGATAAACAACAGATTCATCACGGATTAAATATTATCAATCAATCAGTAACATCTATATAGAACAAAATGCAAATTCAATAATATTGAAATTTGACCTATTAACAAAAGATGTCATGATAAAATAAAAGAAAATAAATAAGTTGCGTTCTCCATATTTTAAATTTGTCATTTCAACTTGAAAATATGTAACAATAAAAGCAAGGAATGGCTGTTAGTTGATGAAGACCCCCCATTAGGTCATAAATCAAACAGTAAACAGTTGTTTGTTGCAATACAGTTGAACTGATGTTGCCAACTCACATCTCATTGCAGTTTATGGCAACGTTACTTGACTTTTAGTAGCAAAACTTGAAAATGCAATACCAGCTCAATACCTGAAAATGATTTTTGTAATAACAACTATGAAAAAACAATGATTGATTTATTTATTTGAATAAACGCCCTGCCTTGAAGAAACTCCCCCACCATAGCCAAATTTGGAATAAACAATTTGGGTGTTTCTTTTTTCCTTGAACAAACACCCACTAAAACAAAACTAATGGAGTGGCATCATTCTCAACACATTCCATTAATATTCTACTGCAGTAAAATTGACATATTTTTCTATAAACCTGGTTGAGATCAATAAGTCTTCATCACGCACACACATTTTGATTGTAATTATACTGATGGACAATGGGATGGGCGGTTGGGGGCGCTTAACCAATAAGCTAGGCTTTCCTCAATAAAGAAGGGGTGGAATGCGCTTAACCAATAATCTACAAGGCTTTCCGCAACAGAAGTTTTTAAACATTGTACAGGATTAGAATATGCTTAAAACTCGAGGGAATCAAAGAACATCCTATGAATTAAACTAATAATGTACAATAAAAATTAGTGAGCTTTTTTTTATATGCGTTTTTACTACATGTGAAGAACGAACTAATACAAGAAGAAAAGACCAATAAATTACAAATTTAATGCTTCTAGAAAAGATTCCCTCAAATCAAATCAAAACTCTATTCTGGAAATACTCCTTCAATCCATTTGCACTAATCTCGTGGGTTTAGATTCATCAATAAAATTAAATTAGTGAAGTAAAAATAAACACAAGCAGTACATTGGATAAAAATTAACTCAACTAGGAAACTAAAATCTTCTACTTAAATTATCTAAACTAACGATGTCAAAATTGTGATGGACATCTCAATAGTACCTCATTTGTTTATCTTTCTGTTTAAATTTAAAACCACAATATAAAGACTGCAAGTGCCCTTGCTTTATGTTTGAAATTAATTTGAAGAAATTGAGTAGCTTAATTAGAAAAAGGTGCTTATCAATATTTATCTAGAAGCTCATGAATTTTCATGAGAATGAAGTAGCTATCCTAGAATGACCCACATATCTTGACACAGGAAACTAGGGGTCAGGTTTGCTCACCCTCTCTTTTTGAATGTTGACTGGTAATATAATTTTCTCAACCTGTGGTTAACTATACTTATCACAAAATTAGATAATGTTCATAATCTATTAAACAGATTGAAGGTAAAATAAATGGCATGAAGAATTTATCCACCTACTGTAGTCCTAAATAATTTTTTTTTAAAAATTTAAAAAATAAAAAAAATAAATGAAAAACAATAAATTCCACTACAATGTTAATTTGACATTAGGGCACATGCTCAATGGATTGTTCAGATTGCCAACGACATTCAGTAGATGACGTTGCTTCGTCATAACTGAAGTTACCGCATTTTAAAAAATTGGTACTAAAAATATTAACATTTTCATTATCTACTGTAAATGAACCCTATATGTGAGCCGACTGTACTTTCCAAGATAGAGTCTCCTAGTAATACTCATGGGCCTTCTTCCTACCAAATGCAAACTATGGTTCGTTCGTAAACCAATATGCAAAACTATTCGTAAAAAAATATGCGATTTAAGGATACTTCATTTGAATGTGCATATTAAGTTCTGTTATTACATAGTCCGCAGAGTTTATCAACCTCATAATGAAGGAGACATTGTGTATATATTCCATGTGAAATCTTTTTTTTTCCCTCTTAGCTTAAAGAGCTTTTCCTTCCATTGCAATAACAAAACCCAGGGGAGAATGATGATTAGCCTGCTCTGGTAGCAATGGCCAGCTGATAGCTTCTAACGATTAACGATTATTACAATAGCATTGTAGGATAATAGGCTTAGTGCAAAGTTAACTGTGTATTCACAAAACACACAACAAGAGAAACATTATTCCTGTGTTCGTACGTCAACCAACCTTTTTCTTCAGCGATAAAATTTCATCTATAGCCTGCGGGTTCACATTCTATATTCGTTCATACTTTTTACATTTAAGAGGTAGTAAGATGTTGTTTAATACATTTTATCAGAACAAACTAACGTACTACTGTACTAACTATTATCCTAGCCTAAGCTAGGTTAAGTCCAGTATGATAATACCTCTCTGTAAATTCCTAGCTCACGTTACTGTAGAGTATTGTATTCTTACGTTGACTGTTCTGAACGTCGATCAAGAAAAATTCCAATTTGTG